TAATCAACAAAAGAAATGAGTTCTCGATCAATTTCTCTATCCTAACTTTGCTGGCTGTTTTTTGTGTGATGACGTCCTACAGTTATAGGTACCGCAGCCACGACCAGTGTGATCAAGACAACAGCACACTTGTAAGTACACACAGCAACCACAGACAATCAACAGGTAAGTAGAGAGCCCACACAACCACACAAGTCAATGGTTAGCCTCTTTTGTACCATCTGCAGAAGCAATGCAATCATCAACAACAAGTGCACACTCACATTCTCAGCAGCCTGTGTGCATGCCATGTGTCACGCCTGGCATGCCAACGCAACAATACTACCGTGTCAGCATCAAGGACCGGAATGGTCTACAAGGAGGGATGCCACGTTGCAATGCAGGTCTGCTACACACTCAACACTGGTATGCCACGTCAAATGCAGCATCAGCAGGCAACAACGACACAGGTACGTGCCACGTCAGACCATGCCCTGCGCTCCATCATATGTCACATCAGCGGTACCAGCGCCACGTCAGCCTGTTGCCAACGAAGCTCTCGCCGGTAAGTCTTCAATGCAGCCACGTCATCATCTTTAAGGGACAGCTGCTCACACGTGCAACATTACAATGTCTAGACCTGCGGTCTTTATCATGCGTGTTAATAAACACGTTTTATTTTGCACATGCGGCACTTCCCACTTACCTGGGTGCCACGTCAGCACCTGACAGCAGACAGCAGATTGCCATGAAGAAGTTAGCTCCGATACCAAATTGTAATGAACCCAGTCTGGCAGATACTCGAAAGTCGTCAAACATCAGTAGTCTCATTATCTGCATAAAAGTCTCCAAATCGTGAAGTGATATCTCAAACAGTATCTCATTACCATCAAAAGAAGAGAGTGGAGGGGGAACAAACAAAGGAGAAGATGAAAGATCACACAATAATAATCCCTTCAAATCCCTCTCCTTCTCCGGGCTTCTTCCCTCTCCACGTCAACAATGATAATAAGTATATTCTGGATCACACACAATAGTGCCACGTGGCTCTTTATCTCGTGAAGACCATGAAGACATAGCAGATTTTGGTGACCACGTCAACCTCAGGTGAGTAACCGATCTCCTTCATCCACAGATCCAGATCTTCCTCCTCCTCGCAACCAGTCACCTCATGTAGACAGCGTGGACAGTGCCACGTCAGCAGTCGAGATAGGTGGCATATGCCACATCATCAATGAAGACCAGTGGCAGCGCCACTTCAGCATGCACTGTCAACCAAAGGTAGCGCCACATCACCATGCAATAGTCCGGAGGTAGCGCCACATCAGCATGCAATGTAGACCAGAGGTAGCGCCTCATTAGCAATGCAATCCCGAGGTAGCGCCACATCAGCATGCAATGTAGACCAGAGGTAGCGCCACGTCAGCATGCAATGTAGACCGGATGTAGCACCATGCAGTAACCCTGTTTAGAAGTAGCCTGGGGCCCAGAACTCAGCCCCAAGCAATGCTGACCTGAGTTGGTTTGCGCTGGGCTGTGTGACCGAGACACGCCCAGGCCTGAGTCTGTCACGTTTGGCTGTGCGACCTAACACTACACAAAGGAAATTCAAAGGTCAAAGTCAATTGTAGAGTCAAAGGTACCGCACCCAGGCCCTTGGTTGGATACACTCACTTGTTGTGCGCAGGTACCCAGACAAGCATCCAGGCCGGAGGGAATCTGGGCCTTAGTTTGCATGGAGATCTGGACGGTTGAGGATTGTAACATCTGGGGCCCAGACCCCGAGTCAACGCTACATAAGCGTTGACATTCCTGGCTTTGATATTCATTCAGCCTTGCGTCAATGTTGACTTCACGCGTTGACAACGCGACGCTGGCTCGACGCTGCGACGCTGGTGGACGCTGGCTTTATGCTGGCATTTGGGAGATTGCGGCGACGCACTGCTAGCTCGGCATGGTGGCTGGCTGGCTATTGTCTTCAAGGCATGTTGACATGGCAGCTGCCACGCGTTGCTGCTGACATGGCTGCTGCCACGTCTTCTATCTTCTAATTGGCTGGGACTATGTGACCGGCACTGCTGTTCTGATTCATCGTTATTCAGGAGGAGATCATGATTGTGGGGTAATCGTGGATACCTACCTTATTATCTTGAGGTCGATATTACTCCAAGTGCGCTGATGAGGACTTATTGACGTGCCACGTGGCACATTGTAGGACTTCGGGTATGCGTTCAGACTATTGATTACTTGAGGTGGTGATCGAGGAGGGAACCCAAAGCAGGAGTGGGCCTTGTACTTATTCCTCTCCTTTGTCGATTCTCCCTCCTCTCTCCTTCGTCTGTGTATGATTATCCCATCTCATTCTATCTGGACACGATTCTGATTATTGGTCATCATTAGGAGTTCGATATTCATGTGGGCTTGCATTGTTGACGAGTGTCTTCACGATCTGGGTTCATTGCAATTTGGTATCGGAGCAGTTCTCCTGACGACGACGAGAGTCGCACGTGTGCACACACTAGGTGGGGCGCAGGTAAGTGGGTATGCACACGTGTGCTGAGGTAGTGACGACTTGACAAGAAGTTAACGCCGGAGTTGCTGACGTGGTAGAGACTTCACTGGCAAGAGAGGATCCTGGCGTGGTAGTAGGTACCGCGACCGAGAGTTATCGCGCGCCAGCTTGGATCGCGATACTGAAGTGGCATCGCGATCCCTTGTTGACATGGCATATCATGTGCCGCGTCTGAAGACCTGGTTGTGGGTGATTGCTGACGTGGCATTCTCACGCTGCAGTAGTAGCTTATGCACGACCAGGTCTGTTACAGAAGCTGACGTGGCCTTTGGGAAAGTCGGGATTGAATGCTGACGTGGTAGGAGAGAAGTCATCACACCTGTCTTCTTGAGGTGTTGATTTCTTGCTGACGTGGCATTGTCCAATTGGCTGACGGCGACGATATCACGACACGACGCGTGGAAATGGCACGTGGGGAAGGACGGATCACACATTTGTTGACGCGGCATCCCTTTATTGATTGACTGGACACTAGTGTTGACGTGGCAGGATCTGCTATGTTAGCACTCTAGGGATAACACGTGGCAGGCAGGTGGCTGCCAAGTAAGAGAAGCACTCCGAAGACGACGGTGGTACGGCTGATTGAACGACTGACGAGACAACTGTAGTGCCAGCTGTCAAGGAGGGTGCCTCATCGCAATTGACACCTGGATTGACTCAGCAGAAAGAAGAAGGGTGTTGACAAATTGTTTGTTGTTGTTGTTGGCATACTTACCTTGTCATTTGTTGTGTTGTGGTGTTTTGCGTACTTGTGTGTTGTATCTGATCACACGGGCCTGAGGTGGTACCTATACACTCTTGTTTAGGACGTCATCACACAGACAGACAAAGAACAACAATAGTTAGAAAATAGAAAAAAAAATAAAAATAGAAATAATTGTATTTTTGAATTTTTTTCTCTTTCTTCGGTTCTCTGAAATCTTGTTGTTGTAGAATAGTGCGGCCGTGGAATTTATTATTGTTGTTGATTACTTATTCTGCGGCAGACGCACATCGCAATGTCTCATTTCTGGAATTGTTTAAAACTGTCGGTGCTTACTCATTTTATTCCTTTTCTCTTCTACCCCGTCTCACTCATCTTCAGTATTGATGAGGAGACACCCGAACCACGAACAAGGCAACAAATGGATGAATGCAAGAAAGTACTGTCTAGCCGCTAGGACCAATTTGAGTTCGAACTTCGTGGTGTCGGTCCGGAAGCCGAGTCCCATGTACGGACACTGTTTGATTTGAGAGCATTGAGAGTTGCTCTCGAATCAGCAGAGACCGGAACTGACGTCATCAAAGTTCAGGAAACACTTATCCAGTGTCATCAGGCACTTGATAAGTTTGTCCTTGAGCAGCTCGTAGATATCAAAGGTAGAAGGGAGGAGAAGAAAACAGTTGTGTCTGAAGACGCCGTGGACGAAAATATCAGACAATTGGAACAAGCACTTGAGAGGGAAAAGAGAAAGAAGGAAGAAATGAGGCGAAGAAGAGAGGAAAACGAACAGCAAGCACAAAAAGTTCAAGAAATCAGACAAACTGTCATTCAAACCGAAGGAGAAGGACAGGCAATCTCTTTGGCTCAACTTGTGACTTACCTTGCTCACCTGGAGATGAAGATTGACCAGACTGTTGCACGGATTGATGATGTGACCGCGGGATTACAGACAACCACGAACCTGGTCAAAGGAAAGAACCAGGTGACAGAAAAAGTCAAAGAAAGAGAAAAAAGAAAAGCCAGAGAAACTAATGGGAGACACAATCAAGTCTCTCAAGGTAGAGACAAAGAAAACAGAAGAGAAAAAGGGGGAGCCTTCGGGTCCGCCGAAGTCTCCAGACGGGAAAAAGGACACCACGCAACAACCTACGAAACCGAAAAGAAAGGAGAAAGTCAAAATGAAATTGCCTTTCACGTTCTGCAACAAGAAAGACAAAAATTTATTGTTGTGGATCGTCGAAATTCAGACGTACTGCGGTATGGCCCCTCTTGAACCCGAGTCTCAAGTTGCTTTCTCTACTTCTTGTCTTGGGGGGAAAGCAAAGGAATGGGTTCTGGCCGAAGCCAATGCAGCGGGGTTCGATGACATTGGGGAGTGGGCTGGAACATTGAACCTCAAGCAGTTCCTTGGAAAGAACAAGGAACGGTTTTTGGACAAAACAACGACCGACAAGGCCTTTGACCAGCTCACCACAATTGGTCAGAAAGATTGGACCTCTGTGGAATCGTTGTCTAGGGAAGTTGATCGGTTGCTGCAGGTTCTTGGACTGGACCTGCAAGATAACCAAGTCTTGTATATTTATTCTCGTGCTCTGCCCGAGTCCATTCGTGGACAACTCGTGGCAGAGTCCAAGTCAGGCAAGTAGAACTACAAGCAGTTTCGGGACCTTGCTCTCCGACGAGAGCAAATGATATCTCAGGTGAAGAATTCTTATGCGTCTGTTGTGAAGTTAAGTGGTGGTGCAGGTGCAGGTAAGCGAATACTTTGGCGCCAAAAGCGCCAGGACCACACCCTCGCCGTCTTTGACGACGATACTGTGGAGGAGTGGCCATTGGAGGCCGAGGGTGTGGCGAGCAGCAGTGATTTCGAGAAGGGGGAAGTCACTGCTGCCGTGGTCAACAAGGGAGGACCACGACCACCAATGAAGAAGAAGAAACCACGCTCATTTCTTGAGCATCTCGGAATTGTGGCCGGGAAGAGATGGGAAAAGATAGGAATGTCACAAGAAACGTGGCAGGAAAGAATGAATAATGCACAATGTTTGAAGTGTGGTACCCCAGGGCATGTGATTGGATGGTGCCCACTTATCCGTAACCCAAAAGCGAGCCGCCAGTAAGAGTAGCATCTGCTCCTACTGAGTCTAAGGGTTTGGACCAAGATGAAGTTAAGACGCCTACTAACCCTTCTAACCCTTTGACTCACATGGCAGAGGGTGGTTCTTCTTCGGCCCATCGTCTGGAACACCCTGAACCTGTCTTATGGACTGTCTCTCTTGACAAGCTTGGTAACGAGTTCCTAGCATTACAAAGCTCATGGGCTGAAATCGAAGTCTAAGGGTGACCTACTACTCGCGGATGTAGAGATTGCACATACACGTGTAGGTGCACTGTCGGTCTCAGGATCAACGCGATCCTACATATCCGAGAAGGCAATTTGCAAGTTGCATCTCGGAATCAAGGTAAAAGATTTGTCTCGACCTATCTACCCTTTGACTTGATTCTGGGAATGGACTGGCACGAGGTAGCCAACCCATATATCAAGTTCAAAGAAAAGATTGTGCAGTTGCGTGATGCACACTCTGAATTGAAACCTATCAAATTGTTTCATAAGTCCGGCTCTGACTCTAGTCTCTCCTTCTGCTGTATGAGTTATCCAGCATTTCGGTCGATGGTTTCGAAGAAAAGGTTGAAACAGGAAGTAACGATGGTCTTAGTAAAGAAAGCAGGTGAGTCTTCTACTTCCTATCCTCCTTCGATTGAAAAACTCTTAAACGAGTATAAAGAATTACTCACTAAACCAACAGGAATAACTGAGCGTGCAACTAAGCACACCATTGAAATTATTCTTAGTACTAAGATTCCCAAGGGCCCTATCTACCGAATGTCTGCTAGGGAACTTGAGGAATTAAGAAAACAACTGCAAGACTTAACAAAATAAGGATGGATTCGCCCTAGCTCCTCTCCTTATGGTGCTCCTGTCTTGTTTGTACCTAAGAAGGAAGGTGAGTTACGTCTCTGTATAGACTAGAGAGGGTTGAATGCCGTCACTGTTAAGGATGTTGAACCGCTTCCTCGCATTGACAACTTGCTTGACCAGTTACAGGGATGCAGGTACTTTAGTAAGATCGACTTGAAATCTGGGTATCACCAGATCGAGGTGGAACCCTCCGATCAGCATAAGACCACTTTTCGGACCAGGTATGACCACTATGAGTTTGTGGTAATGCTTTTGGGATTAACGAATGCCCCTGCCACTTTTCAAAGGTCAATGAATAACTTGTTTCGTCAATGGTTGGATAAGTTTGTGGTTGATTATCTCGATGATATTCGAGTGTATAGTAAAACACTAGAGGATCATGAGAAGCACATTCGTCTGGTGCTAGGGAAGTAGCATGAGGGCAACTTCAAGATCAACTCAAAGAAATCCGAGTTTGCTAAGTTCGAAGTATTATACCTAGGACACATAGTAAACGAAGAAGGTTTAAGGCCGAAAGAGAAAAAGATATCAGCAATTAGAGATTGGCCACAACCTAAGTCTATTACTGAACTGCAATCTTTCCTTGGTCTAGTAGTTATAATAGGAAGTTTTTCAGAAACTTCTCACTGATTGTTGCACCAATGCAAAAATTGTTAAAGAAAGAAACTATTTGGTTGTGGGATAAGGATTGTGAGTCTTCCTTTCGGAAATTGAAGTATGCACTGACTCACTACCCCGTCCTTAAGATTGCTGACCCGTCCTTGCCTTTGCTTGCCACCACTGATGCAAGTCAGTATGGGATTGGTGTTGTTCTTCAATAGGATGACTGCAAAGGCTATAGGCCCATAGAATTTATGTCTAAACGACTGCCGTGTGACAAAGTCGCCAACTCCACGTATGAAAGAGAACTCTATGCCTTATTATGTGCGTTGGACACATGGAGGCACTACCTGTTAGCGAGGCACTTTACTGTGTACTCAGACCACTCAACCCTAAAGTGGATAAAAACACAGTTCTGACTCTCTAACAAGTTGTTAAGATGGTCTGCATTCATTGACACCTTTGACTTTGAACTCAAGACTATCAAAGGTAAGTCTAATGTGGTTGCAGATGCTTTGTCCCGACGCAGTGATTTCTTTGGTGCAATTGTCCCTTACTTGGATGTTGGGAATGACCTGAAAGATCAGATTCGCCAAGGATATGCTACTGATCCTATCTGGAAATCAATCATGGATATCCTTGTACGAGATCTGTCCCAACTACGCAACTATAGACTGACTGATGGGTTGTTGTTCTTGATTGACCAAACCAAATAAAGATTGTGTATTCCTCATAAGGAAGAGATTCAGAGTCTGTTGATTGGGGAATGTCACGATTCTGAGGGTCATTTTGGTTTCAAGAAAACATATGCTGAAGTCAGAGAACGTTTCGAATGGAAGGGACTAAAAGAAGATGTACTAACATATGCTGAAGTCAGAGAACGTTTCGAGATGTCGGGTTCACTAGTCTGCCATGGCAAAAGCTGATGGAAACTTATGGCATGCGGCCGACCGTGTCGTCAGGGAACCATCCCGAAACGAATGGCCAGATTGAGCAGATGAACCGTCTGTGCCAACCACTTTTGCGTATGTATGTTAGACCTGATCAGATTGATTGGGACAAGAACTTACCCAAAATTGCGAGTGCATATACAACAGTGTCCACACTTCCACTGGACGAATTCCAAATGCATTTCACAAAGGGTGGAAACCTAAACGTCCCATTGATGTATTAAACCGAGACCAGTTCCTTAGGTTGCCCCAGGGACCCGAGAATATGCAATATTGTTCTTGGAGGACATTTAGAAAGTTAAAGATAATCTAAGGAAAGCTCAACTATGGATGATTGAACAAGCCAACATGCACTGTCGACCACCTACATTCAAAGAGGGTGATCTGGTTTGGGTAAAATCTAAAGAGTTTTCACTAGAGAAAGATGTGTCCCAGAAATTGCTTCCTGTCTATTTTGAACCCTGGGAAGTTTTCAAAGTAATCGGAGATGCAGAGGGACCGTCTTATCGCATTGATATTCCCCCTCGTCTCAAAACATATCCTGTCTTTCACGCGTCCTAACTGTTGCCCTATGTAGAAGGGAATGAATTTCCAAACATACCCTTTATGATTCCGCCATCTATGGAAGGCAGATGTGATGTAGACGGAATCATAGAGCATGGTTACTTCTCTACGGGAGGACGTGGACGACCAGTTCAAGGTACGTTTTAAGTCTCAGGCACCATCTGAGGATAGATGGTTTAGTAAACAAGAACTACTTGAAACTGCTCCTGATATTGTCGCTGCTTATTTACGAGGGTTAAAGTCTTAAATATTTCTGCGGTGGAACTCGAAAATGGGTCGACACGAATGCAGTAACGCTGTGCATAAGTAGCCTGGGGCCCAGAACTCAGCCCCAGGCAACGCAAACCTGAGTTGGTTTGCGCTGGGCTGTGTGACCAAGACACGCCCAGGCCTGAGTCTGTCACGTTTTGCTGTGTGACCTAACACTACACATAGGAAAATCAAAGGTCAAAGTCAACTGTAGAGTCAAAGGTACCGCACCCAGGCCCTTGGTTGGATACACTCACTTGTGCGCAGGTACCTAGACAAGCATCCAGGCCGGAGGGAATTCGGTTTCAGGCCAATCTGGGCCTTAGTTTGCATCGAGATCTGGACGGCTGAGGATTGTAACATCTGGGGCCCAGACCCCGAGTCAACGCTACATAAGCGATGACATTCCTGACTTTGAGATTCATTCAGTCTTGCGTTAATGCTGACTTCACGTGTTGACGACGCGACGCTGGCTCGACGCTGCGACGCTGGTGGACGCTGGCTTTATGCTGGCATTTGGGAGATTGCGGCGACGCACTGCTAGCTCGGATGGTGGCTGGCTGGCTATTGTCTTCAAGGCATGCTGACATGGCAGCTGCCACACGTTGCTGCTAACGTGGCCGCTGCTACGTGTTCTATCTTCTAATTGGTTGGGACTATGTGATCGACACTGCTGTTCTGACTCATCGTCACTCAGAAGGAGATCATGACTCTGGGGTAATCGTGGATACCTACCTAATTATCTTGAGGTTGACATTGCTCCAACTGCGTTGATGAGGACTTATTGACGTGCCACGTGGCACACTGTAGTAGGACTTCGGGTATGCGTTCAGACTATTGATTACTTGAGGTGGTGATCGAGGAGGGAGCCCGAAGCAGGAGTGGGCCTTGTACTTTTCTTCTCCTTTGTCTATTCTCCCTCCTCTCTCCTTTGTCTGTGTATGATTATCCCATCTCATTCTATCTGGACACAATTCTGATTATTGGTAATCATCAGCAGTTTGATATTCATCTGGGCTTGCATTGTTGACGAGTGTCTTCACGATCTGGGTTCATTGCAGCCATGTCAACATGCAATGTAGACCAGAGGTAGCACCACGTCAGCATGCCACCTCAGCAAGCCTGGTGCAGAATGCAGGAACCGCCAGCATGCTGCCTCCACCTCGTGCGGTCGTCCGCATTTGCCTGTGCACAACCAACATCTATCCAAAGTCGAGCCAGCATAATGCCAGCGTCTAGTCAAAGTCGAACCAGCATCAAAGCAGCATAGCAAGTCTGAAAGATTGACTTACTCGAGGCCAGCGTTAAGTAACAGTTGTCGGGGTTGTCTGGCCTCGGGTGCTTTTTCCACAGTCGTCCTGATTGACTCACAGCTGAGGGCCCGGATTGTACAGTTGCAGACTTCTCCCTTAGACCTGATGCTGTCTGGGTACCTGCACACAAACAAGTGTGTGTGCTTGACCAGTGGTGTGGGCTAGGTACCTTTGGACTTTGACTGTTGGGGTCACGACAGTTGACCAAAGTCAACTGTCACATGTCCAAGCCCTGAGTCTTTGTTTGGGGTCCTTTTTGCCCCCGTTTCGGCTTGGGCTGAGGGCGGTCGAGTTTGCCCTCAGTCTTTCCACGA